TCTAAACAGTGCTCTCTTGTGTTGAATCATAAATGTTTTGTGTTTCTGCTTCTGTTCACAACTACTTTGTGGCTGTCAAAATATCAAAATGGTCATCTTTACTCTACATCTACAATATCTCAATTGATTTCAAGTGGAGACGTTTATGACCTAAAACGACATCCAGTGAATTTCAGTTTAAAAAAATAGTAGCTACTTGCACTTTTTACCCCTGGTACTTTTATCCTCGGCCTACCCAACTTTCACTATTTCGACTGATACTTAAATTCGAATCAGTGTGAAAACTCTGGAACAGATTGTAAATATATTTTATGCTGATTTTGTTAAAACAGATCTAGGAGCACACTGATGGGCGGAAATATATTAATAAGAAAATATTCAAGTAGAAATGTTAACTTTATTTCAGTAAAAGTTTCTACTTTATTTATTTTACGTTACTTTTTATCAGATTCGATGTTCCTCGGATTATCTTTCCCAATATTTGTACGAGATAAGATAAAACATTAATCAGTAAAGACTAAACATAGTTCGTCATAATAGAGAGAATAGACAACCCATTTGTGTTGAAATTGTTGGAGAAAAGAAAGTAATGTTCTGAGTTGTTTGAAAAAAATAAGGTGTGTACTAATATATTCGCTTGTTTCTCTGCTTATATTCAAAAAGACATATATGATGGAGGTAGATTTACTCGCAGCTAATAAAATATATTATGCTTGAGCTATATTCAGAGGAATTGCCAATTGTGACACATATTTCAAACAAACACACTGTTTCGATCGGTGACAAGGGAGTGTTTCGCCGAGCAAACAAAATGAAACTTCGATAGTGATTGTTTGTATTTTTAATTTACTTTCGAATATTCAAATAAAATATCAGTTTAGCATATTTCTATATTCAGAAAATTTTATCTCTTTCTATATTCAACTTTCATTATATAAAGAATCGTCTAATGCAGAGTACTTACATATAAAAAACATCTTTAGAAAAGGAAACCGACATCAAACGTAAAATCAATATATTTTTCTAAAAGAAAAATGTTGTTTTATTCAGTAATTTTGTTTATCAACAAAAAGAGCTGATACTTTTATAGGGTAGGTACTAGGTACTTATCTTGACTTTTCAGAGACCTAAATCTGCCTGTGTCTTCAGAATGTAAAATCACCTATTCTGTTCATTTTTCAAATGTGAATAATGTAGCCACTTTCGAGACGAAAAATTCAAAATAGTTGATTTCAATTCTGAAGATGGAGCCAAATTCAGGTATCCAAAATGACAAAATAAGTCCCCTTTAAAATTCACATTTTTTTTATGAGGAGAGTATTATTGAATACCATTAGTGACTGATGAAGAGTACATTTTTCTTTGAGGACAATATATTGCAGTACCTTATCGGGGTAAACTAGAAGTTTGCTCTCTCAACACCTGTATGAAGCTTTCAGTTACTAATTCGCATTTTCTGACGAATTTCTCGATATCAATGTTAGTTTATTCCACACCATCTAAAAGTAGATATTTCAATCAAAAAGTAAGAATAACTTCTTTTTGCACAGATATTCAGGGCTGAAAACGAGGAATTTTTCAAGTTCAATGTTGAACTAAAATTTTATATCGAATATTTTATATTGAAAAACTAGATCATATTCAGAACACGAAAAGGTTTTCACCAAACATTGTTAAATCCAAGAATTTTTGTAATAGAAATAATCAAAAATAAAAAACTCGTTTATCCAATTCCTCTCAGAAAATTTAATGCTGTGGAAAAATGGTTCGTACATCGGTTGTAGATGTTTATAACCTCTTTTCCTAATTCAATTCTTTTCAATTGAAGTTTTGATTTCATTTAAAATGAAAAACCCCATTTTATCCCTCTTATCTGTGAAATTTGCATTACTTATTTCTTTATGACTATTTTAATGCTCAGATGAGTTGTTTTTTTTATGGTTAATATAATTTTCTCTTCATATTTATGGCAGTTATTGCACTTATTGTAATCGTTTGCACTGCATCTACCAGATTTTCGGATAATTTTTGACAATGGAAGTATCCATTTTCTGTGATTCATTCTTATTTGACTAATTTGGTTGATTAGTATGTTTTTGATCAATATAATTTGATATTCAATATTCGGAAGCAAATTCATTGGGTAAAGGTACCTTTATAATGAGAACTTTTGCTGGTTTTTTCGTTCATATGATTCAACTGAATTCCTGATTTTCTTTATTTCAATGTAAACAACTCGCACAATGTTTGTTTGAAAGTGGTTGATAATGTTTCATGGTGAATTTTACTAGTTACTACCTCCATCACTTTAATGAAATGAATAAAAAAACCTTCGTCTAATTACCACTGGTAGATTTTATTTATACGACCGGTTTCGGGTTTGACCCCATTATCAGTTTTATACCTTATCATTGGGTCAAATATGAAACCGGTCGTATAAATAAAATCTACCAGTGGTAATTAGACGAAAGTGTTTTTATTCATTTCATTAGAGTGATCATGAATTACCATAAAATAAACATGTCAACAATCACACATAATACTACCTCCATGTCTAATATGATTTGAACTCTCTGAAAGAACAAATAAATTGAAAATTAAAATGAAAAGCTAAAATTAACAATTATATCAAGCAATAAAGCGTGAAATGAAAATGAAATAATTGAAAATTGAACAATTAAAAATGTTAGTATCGACAATTGTCTTCGGGTGGTAACTGGACTATTCCTCCAAGAGATGACTATTCATAGGCCATTCGAAGGCTCTCTCCTATCCCCTCTTTCTCCTCTCCGCTTTACTGGTTCAGCGGGAGATGAACGTTTTTTCGCTTGATTAAAGGTTTCCATATGTTGCGTATCCCCACGGTAGCTTGGCTGAATGCGTCGTTGGACAACATATACGCAGTTTTATTGAACTTCCTCTCAAACCGGTTCACGTCCCTGTGGATGATCACATCTTGAGACCACTTGATGGTATGTTAATAAGTCCAATCATGCTCTGATATTCCCGATTTGCTAGTTTCTCCGCGCTGTGTGTTTCTCTTGTGCAATGCGGACTTTCAATGTCCCCTTAGTTTCATCGATATAGGATTTGCTCACTCACAGGATTTTGAGAGGCTGCTCCGATGTAGGGAAGAGCAAGCACTGGTTGTGATGGCTTCTCTTCCTTGTGAGGCTCTTGCTGTCTTCTACATCACTTTGGAGTAACCATTCCGTTGAAGATATTTTTTGATGATCCCTAGTTTCTTCTTGAGACCTTCCTTTCTCAAGACGCTTCAAGAGCGGTGCCTGTGTAAAAGTAGCGATTAATGTTGGATTTGAATCGCTGAAAGAACATTCTCTAAATGAAAGAGTTTTTGGATAGTGAAGTTTGAAGTGTACTGAGTTGAACCTCGAAACCTATCACAGAGCCCGAAGGCACGATCCAATAGAGTCTTGATGAATCCTCTTTTGGTGGATTGATGGTGATTCGTGATTTAGATACTGTCGTGTGAGTGGATATTCGGTGTACGATATTTCCCATTTAATGTTGGCTCTCTTCACCAATACGTCCAAGAATGGCAATTCGTTGTGGATTTTCTTCTTTATTGTGAAGGTGAAGAAGAGTTTTACGCTGTTGATGTGCTTCAGAAAGGTGTCTAGTAATGTTTTCCATGGTTTCATACTATGAAGGTGTCATCAACGTATCTCAATCAGATTTGGGGCTTCAATGTATACAGTTTCAAACCACTCCATATATATGTTGCCATAACTGGTGATAGTGACGATCTCATTGGCAGTCCCTCATCTCGCGTAAAGAATTCGTTCTTCAGTTCCGTACACACCATCCTAGTAAGTCTATGATTGCTTTTATAGGTGAGTTCGTTCTTTCTTCCAAGTCCTCGTCTTCGGTTAGTTTCCTCTGTATGAAGAAGAAGCATTCCACTTCTTCTGCAGGAATGTTGGTGTAAAGGTTTTTTACGTCGAAATCAATCAATTAATCTTGATCCGTGACTTCAATTGCCTCTAGTAATTCGAAAAAATTCATCGAATTCTTCGCGAAAGATGAAGTTTTTCCTTGTAGCGATTGTATAGTTGAAAGTAAAAATCTGTTTGAGTAGCTGAATTTCTGGAACTAATGATCAGTCTGAGTGAAATACCCTTCTTGTGGATTTTGGGTAGTCCATACGGGTGAGGGATAGACTTGATGTTTCTTCAAAGGCTGGTACAACTTCCTGTCAATCGATGCAGTAGGGTCCCGTACAATCTTCGTGTATTGTCTCTTCTGAAAAACATCTTAGATCTTCTGCTCGTAAAGATTGGTATCTATCACAACAGTAGCGTTTTCTTTATCTGCAGATAGGACTTTGATGGTGTTATCTCTCCGTAAGCCGTTCAGAACTCTTTGTTATCCATCGCTGATATTAGATGTTGAAACTGGTTCTCAAACCGGCTGTTCTCTAATTTTCCATCTAAATTCTTCCGCCTCGGTCTGACCAATAAGAAAACTAGTGGATTTCACTGCAAAGTGAGCACAGATGTTGGTGCAACGGCAAAGTTGAGACTTTTCCGTAACAACCTCTGTTGATGACGTTGGCGGCATCGTGGTTGTCCTGTTTTTGTTGTTCATTTGGACACATTTCAATTTCGAATTTTTTCGCTTATTTTCATTTTTTCATAACTTCATTTCACGTTTTATTGCTTAATATAATTGTTACTTTTAGCTATCCATTTTAATTTTCAATTTATTGGTTCTTCTAGAGACTTCAAATCATATTATATTATAACAGACAATGGAACCCGAACTAGTAAAACTCACAGAATCCTATAAGAGAAAAATTTAAAAACTCTAGGGAAAAAGATGAAATTGAATAACAAATTTGCACATTGTATAATGTAAGAAATGGCTTTTTGACAAAAAAATTGACTTCTTTTTTATTTATGATGCACTGTTCTTTCTTTTTTATGCCTCAGTTCTCATACTCAATGCCTTGTATACTAATCATATTTTTGTCATTTTAGGATGTTACGTGTAGTAATTTTGGCAGCCTTTGTTTGTCTAGCAGTTGGACAGTCGAACAATACCAAATTTCCATTTTGTAAATTATGCAAATGTGAAACGGATGACGACGTATCTGCTAATGTTACTTGTACTACGGATCAAAGAAATTATATCTTTGAAAATAGCTTCTGGTTTAATCAGAGCACTAATGAATCGTACGCCTACAATGCTTTGAATTTTCAGAATAATCAGTTTTTGAATTTGTCTTACGTTTTTCCCAAATCAAATCTGACCTATTTAGATTTATCTAATAATGCCATCTATCGAATAAGTGATGGTGTTTTTCAAAATCTACAAAAGATGATCACCTTGATACTGAGTTACAATGGTTTGGAAATGATTCATCCTGATGCTTTTAAGGTAAGGTAAATATGTACCTACTTAGTATTGCATATTGACAGGTATTCTTTTTCTTTTAAGTTGCTCAATATTTATTGTCAGACTAGTCAAAGGTTAAGTTGTGTTATAGTGGGTCTAATCTTTAGAAAAAAGTGAAAAAAATCAAAATCAGTTGTTTTTTTTCTGATTGATTCGGCCGTTACTCGATAAAGATCCATAGTAATTGCGATTTGATCTCCACAAACATAATTTAAGAAATATATCACGACATGTTTCGCTAACACAGTAGTTTTTCCAACAATGATTTGAATACGTTGTTTCAGTCCAAGATGTAATTTGGATGTAATGAATGCTCTGAATATACTTCTTATTAGATTTTATACTACTAATAAAGTTCTTAACTAGTCGATATCTGAATTGAGTCTAGAATCATGTGCCCAAGTGAGCCAAGTGAGCCAAGAATGACAGCCTTCTGCATCTGTCCGGCTAAAATTTCTGCCTTAGTGCGGCAAGCCGTTATGATTTTAAGATTCGAGAGTAGAGAGGACATCATTCCATCAAGGACTCCAATAATCAGAACAACCATCTTGACAGAGTGATCTGGATAGAGTCTGCGGAGTTCGAAGAGAAAATCTCGATATTTTATCCGTTTTTCCTCCTCTTTTCTGACGATATTCGTCTCGCCAGGAACTGAAAACTCCAGGACAAATATCGTTTTGCTCTAGTGGTCGAGAAGGACCACATCAGACGTATTAGCTTGTATAAGCCTGAGGGTGGGAAACGAAAAGTTCCAATAAATTCGGCACTTCTCGTTCCCCACAACGGATTCAATATGCCCCGGAGCGTAGGGTAACACCGGTGTCTCGTCAATACCGTAAGAGTGCCGTATATGGTAATATAGCACTCTTAGGGCCGCGTTATGTCGATGAATATAAGCCGAGACCGCATATGCTGGACATGCTGATAGCAAGTGCATTAGGGTCTCGGACGCCTCGCGGCAGGCTCTGCACCTTGTGTCAGTAACCTCTAAACCCATCACGCGACTGCGGTAGACTAAGGTGTTGAAGACACCATCCTGGCAAGCCATGATGAACCCTTCAGTTTCCGACTTCAGCCCACTCGGCCTGAGAAAAGCGAACGTTAGGCGCTTTGATAAACCAAGGTCTCCAATGTTATTGAATAACACCCCATACATTGGCTTATTCTTGTGTCTCCGCAGAAGTAAGGTGATTTTTGCGGCTTTTATCTGAGCTTTTTGCTGAATGGGTTCCAACTCGGTGACAGAGTTGTGATCACCTCGTTCATAGTCGAAAACAGCTGATGAACTCGGTATTATTATTATTAATTTCCTGCTTATTTTTATTTTTAGTCTTTTTTATTTTTTTCACTTTGTAGTAATTTTCATTTTGCATCTTGATTATTATATTCGTTTTATTGTATTTTAATTTCACGTTTTATTGCTTGATGTAATTGATATTTTAGCTATTCATTCTCATTTTATGTGTTCTTTCATAGATTTCGAATTAAACTTGAATCATATTAGACAATGGAAGTCCGAAGTGATAAAATTCTTTTCATGTTCATGTTTTAAGATAATTTTGGGATAGATTCAAAAAGTTATCGAATACCTTGTGTTAATAAAAATGAACTGTAATTTCGTTCATTTTCAGGGAGTTTATATGGAAGGGATGCTGATGCCTCTCCGAAGTCTAAAAGAAATTCGATTGGATCACAATAAACTTCATACTCTGAATCAGGATCTATTTGAACATTGCACCGACATTGAAATATTGGATCTTAGTCATAATCCAATCGAAACCATCGATCATCACACCTTATTAGCCATAGACAGTTTGCCCAACTTGAGAGTAAGTGACATACGTTCATTTTGATTTGGGGAAAGTAAGATATTGTATATTCTTTTATTCATTTATAAGTAGCGTTTCACGTCCTATTCGTTTTTAGTAAGTCATCATTTTAAAAAACTGATTCGAATTTGGATAAATTCATCGAAAAGTGTAGATGCAGAATACATATGTTGCTATATTTATGAGTCTTGAACTGTTCTTTGGTCTAATGATAATGGTCTTGCACATTTATACCCATTTGTACCCAAGTACAGTTACTTCATACTATTTTATAACCAAATATTCATGTTACAGTATATGATATACGGAGTGTTTGTTATTGTGTCACCAATTGAATGAAGATTGCTCACGATATTTGAAAATGAACTTTGATGGAAAATACAGGATATTGAATTCTCAAAGTTTTCCAATTGAAACAGTTTTTATTCTGCTAAATTTTTATATGTACTTTATTTGAAAATTATATACATTAAGCATTACGGTAATAATGCATTATATAATAATGTAGATTATCATGATTGCATGGAAATACATAATTACCTTGTGCAATTCTCAAAATTGTTGACATATCTGAAATGTATTGGCATTTCGGTTGGTTTTCTTTAAAATTTCAGATTTTTGACAATCTGTATATTCATTCACTTCAAGTGCTTGGAAAATACTCACAAAATGAAAAGCAAACGTATTTTATTCATATTTTGAGGTTTAGAAACGTCGTGGAATATTGCTGACATTTTACTAATAATACTTCACAATATTTTCTTTGCATACGATAGTTTAATTGAATTTACAAATATTTTTGTTTTTCCATATCTATTTCAAAAATATCGAATTTGTTTTATAGGAGTTATATCTGCAATATACTGAAATCAACACGTTGCCAGAAAATATGCTGCACACCCCCAAATATCTCAGGATTCTAGATTTATCTGGAAACACACGAATAGATAAAATTCCAAACACCTTAATTCAAGCACGTAGTTTGGAAAAATTTTATTTGAATAATACTGGTTTTGTTAATTTAACTGAGGATAAGTGAGTATTAAATGATTTGATGTGTAGAATACGTACCATACGCAATAAACATGACAACGAAACCATAACAATTTCCGTTATCACGAACTGCGCCAACATTAGTTTTTGAATTTTTGAATTCTATCTAATAGTTTTATAAAAATATATTTTGAAATATGAACTAGATGAAACTTATTACTACTAGTTGATTAAATATTAAAATTAATGACCATAACCTCGAAATATTTTGAAAAAACCTCAATATTTTATAATAATTATTTATTCAACAAATATACTCACTGCAATAAATTGAGTGACTGTTACAAGATTGGTGACGGTTGAACGTTCTTTCATGAAACCGTGTTGATTGGGGCTAATAATGTTTGTAACTGTAACCATAATTCAAAAAAATCATACCTCAATTTAGTTTTTGAATTGATATTGTAAAAAAATACTCTCTCTGGATATCTGTCACTGTTTATATCAGTATCTTCTTCAGAACTACTTTCATTGGAAACAGCTCTTTTCAATAATCTTTTCAGTCAAAAACAAGGAGTCATCAAGGCGTTTGCAGAGGAAACCCGCAGGATTTGCGGGCTCATTATATAGGATGCTATTTCAAAAACTAAATTAGGGGACAGTTTCTTGAAATATGATTAGCATGATGTCGAATATGGTCTCTTAAGGGCATTCAAATATCTCTACAAGCAGACTGCTCCATTTCTGTAACTCTTCTCATACCAAAAAATCACATGTTCACTAAATTCTGAAACACCCGGTATATGTATTTACAGTCACATTTAGACTCAAAGTGGAATTTCTGGGAGTGCCATTAAAAAAAACAAAGTTTAGTGTGGTTTCTTGAAAATTGCAATGGTTACAACAATTTCAAAGATTATGTTACAGAGACATTCTGGCGTGTTTCAACACTGTTCCTGTTTAATTTTTATAGCTCTAGTATAGTATGTGGGAATATGCTGAATTGTAAGTTTTTCGAGAGTATAATTTTGATTTTCAATCTTAACAGGGTCGTGTTATAGTCAAGAGCATTTTCATCATTTACTGGCCATCCGCCCCTGCTTCGCACGAGTAGCATCGTTACAAATCAATTCACACAAAATATATTGCATATGAACCTTAATCTCCCTCTTGAATCACTCCGTCCGTACACTGAAAAACAAATGAAAATCCGTTTGATAGTTTTTGAGTTTTTCGCGTTCAGACAGACAGACCGTCAGACAGACTTCGTTTCATGATATGCTATGATAGTTATGTAATATATTCGAATAAGGATTCTCAAACGATGATAAATATGATAAAAATCATGAAATCTAGTGTACTTTGATAATGTATGCAACTGTTACTAATACTATGTAACTTAATGTTGGGCACAATTTTCAGCGGATTTCCAGAAATTCCATCTCTGAAAACTCTGCACTTGTGCCGTAATCAACATTTGAGTGTTATAGGCCAACACTCCTTGAGCAAGTTGACTGGTTTGGAAGAATTGCGTCTCAGTTACAACATTGATTTGAGCAGTATCCATCCAAAGGCGTTAGCCAGATCACTTAATGGTGGCGCAGTATGGCCACCAATCAAAAAGGTAGGTTTGTTCAATAATCATTTTTCATGGTAAAAACTTGTATTTTGATAAGTAAAATTGGATTGTCTGGTGTTAAGTGTATCTATTGAAATATTTCATATCCCACCACACGAGTTTTGCTGAGCAAGTTAGCATGATCAGATAATTGAAACTACCGTACTGTATTTTTTGTTCATTTGGATGATTTTGATTTTAGTAATGAGGCTCATGAAATTATTCTTACTACTTATTAATGTGCTGATTTGATCCTCATGTTGATGACAAGTCATTATGATAACTTCTATTTGCCTAGTTGCCACTTATATTATTATTATGAAAGAGAGTACAAGATAGCTGTTTGGAAGGGACCTCTCTTTGTTGCTATCTCGAAAATTCCCAGCATTTCTTATTTATTATGTGTCTATTCTCCAACGCAAGTTGAAAAAGAAATAATATTTCTCAAACCTATGAAGCGAAATATGTGAAACATTCTCTTCGAAACGCTTATAGTCCAGTCATTAAATGGTTCGGTAAAGAAAACGTTTCTTCTCTTATCTATATGCTGGATCTGAATTTCTGCCCTATATATACTGAAGATATGCAAGCAACCTTTGTACTTGATGAATCCGTCAAAATGTGTGGGAAAACGCTTAATAACATTCTTTTCCATATTGAAAGCTAAGCAATAATGAACATTTTTAAGGAATGAATTTTTGTTCATAATTTTCGATAGTTAGGCCAGTGAAAATATAGGTTATTTGGATCGGAAGACTGAAAGAATATATTTTCAGTCGAATATCAAACTCCATAATTCTCTCATAGAACCGAGTTTAACAATGAACTCTGTCACCTTTTGAATGTATGAAACCTTCCACTCCATTTTGGAGTTCGATAATTTTATAGTATATTCATATAAGAAACCATAAGGAACTTTTATCATACTATGAAGTGAAAAATTCGAGTTGTATACAAAATAATCAATTATGAAAAATGCATTCTTCTTCATAAACCTATCTTGTGACTTTGTGACAGGAGACATTACTTTACAAGATTTCTGAATATTGTCTGTCAAATATTTTCCACATATCATTTCCAAGTAGTAGTTCAAAATATTCATAAAACTGCTGATGAGGTATGTAAAAATCAAATGTTCATCAGTTATAAAATTAACTTTTCAAATAAAATTCAAAATAATGATTTCTCTCAGTTTTCCCATACTGCTGCAATCTTCAATATGATTTATTTATAGAATATATAGTTTCTGAAGGAAAGCCTTCGATGAAAATAAGGAACTACATTTAGTCCCGATTTCAACTGCTACTAATCTGAGTTGTTTGTAGTGTCACCATTCAAGTTCATTTTTCAGTCCCTCTACTAGAACTAGATTATGAACGCTATTTCAACAAAACATTATGATTCATGTTATCGACCTGAGAATAGTTTTGGAGGAGTTGATTTGTTTGGATGTTGACAGTTTTTTCATTTTTCCGCGCGTTACTATTATCTTCTCATATTATTTAACAGGAGCATGTAATATAGGAAGCAGCCTGTAATTTTCTATAAATAACATTTTCATAGATTCATGATTTGACTTAGTTAATCTACTAATTGAGACGAGACGAGAACCATTGAGATGACGAGAACCATCAACAATGATGGTCTCTAAGAAGTACTTTACTCCAATGTTTATCGGCTAGGAAAGTAGTTATTTTATGACGGGGATTCACTCAATCACATTGTGTATGTTAGCTGATGAAGATTATCTCTGAATTTCATTAAAAAAATTAGATTTCTTGGTGTTTTTAATTCTTCTCGACATAATCATCTTGATAGTTCGGATTTCATTAGTTTTCACATGAAATCATGAATTTAGTTTAATTGAACTAGAGTAATGTGAATGGGGTATTGATATCGATGCTCTTTTATGTAATCTTGTGTCGAGTTATTCAATGAATAATATATGTTTGAATGTCGTATAGAAATTGAAATATTGATTTTTCATCTATATAATCTACTACCTTCTAGGAATGCTCCGGACTCTGGAAACACCTCTTGAGAAACACTTTGATAAATCGATTTCACGAATAAACATCACTATTAACATATATTAATATAATAGATAGGCATAGCCAGAATGAAATCTGAAAGTCCTGTTAACGAAAAGCGTAAATTTTAACCTTTTCGAAACTAGGGTTATAATTTAAATTTTCAATGTTGAGTTTAGATATCAGACCAACCAATAACTATTTTAGTTTAGATTCATTTTACTAACTGAGAACTCCGCTCTTCGCCTCAATGATTTTTTTTGAAATACTAATCAATACATTGCGTTTTCTTCAAATTCAAGTATTATATTACTTTATTGTGAGATTTTCACAAGAGTTCACAAAACCTCAACCCGCATCACGTGTTTCACCATCGATATATAGCTAGCTTCAAGTGTTTTCATACTCGGTTTTGTGAACTGTCCAGTGAAATTGTCATAATGAAGTGTTATTTGAATACTTTATAGATTTAGATAAAGTATCGGCCAATTTCATGACATATCCTGCACTAATTTTTCAATTGATAATGGTTCATTCAATTGCACATATGGAGTTTGGTCAGTCGAATTGAAATGTTATTTCCTTCACACATGAAAGTTAGCATTGAAATTATTTAGACTGATTTTTGAAAGTTATTTTCAGTTCTATATTGAGTTCAACAAAATTGCCTATTTAGATAGCGATATATTATCCAGATGGGATACTTTGAGTGGTCTAGATATAAGAGAAAATCCGTGGACATGTGAATGCGAAAATAGATGGTTGATAGAGGACCTGTTAGAATATTATTTGAAAATTGATGAGGAAGGAGCAAAGAAAGTTATGTGAGTATATATTGAACTAAAGATATGAGAATGATTTCACAGGTCATAATGTTGTGAAATAATTCCATTTTTTGGTTTACAAATGACGGACAATTAATGTGTTGAGTCAGATATAAAACAGAAGTCCCAATCTAGTACTAAATTTGTGGAAAAATTGCATCTCATGATTATTACTGGAGTTTTTTCCCAACAGCAAACCATTATTTCGACACCTCGACACATGTTTCGATCACTAAGAGATCATCTTCAATAAGAAGGTTGAACTAAATATCCTTACAATGTTATCCTTATTTATATCATAGATATCTCTTTTAGGTACCTGCGTCTTAAGTGTCTCAAAATAATTTCACAATATTGCCTCATCGACTATTCTTAAATTAATTTTACAAAATGTACTTGTATAATAGTCAGGTAAAGCTATACATATAGTATTAGTATTATATTATAGGTATTGGTCCACCATCGTTATTCATGATATTATAATGTTTACTTATTTCTACACTCTCATAGACATCTAGATGCCTATTGTTGTTAACTTGTCTAACTAATATTAATGAATGAAAGTCTATGGAATGGTTTTGTGGCAAAATATGATGGGCGACTGCTGCTTTTTCTGGTCTTCCATATTATAGGTGTGCTAAGTGTTCCTTATATCTTATGGATACTTTTGTTAAAGCTATACATATAGTATTAGTATTATATTATAGGTATTGGTCCACCATCGTTACTCATGATATTATAATGTTTACTTATTTCTACACTCTCATAGACATCTAGATGCCTATTGTTGTTTTGTCTAATATTATTATTATTAATGAATGAAAGTCTATGGAATGGTTTTGTTGCAAAATATGATGGGCGACTGCTGCTTTTTCTGGTCTTCCATATTATAGGTGTGCTAAGTGTTCCTCATATCTTATGGATACTTTTGTTACTGGCGGCTATTTCCTGTATTGTACGTTTTTCTTTTGTGAACCTTTTATGTGTGAGAGGAAAAGTTAAAAGACGAAGCAATAGAAAATTCAGGCCAGCACGTTTATGCATTGTCTTTTGACTTTTCCCCTCACATATGAGATATTTACAAAAGAAAAACGAACAATACAGGAAATAGCAGCCAGTAACGGTTTCTCGAGGAGTTTTGTAGATGACATAATAAGGAAGAAAAAGTTTAGGTTAAGAATGAACGAAATCTCGATTTTTAAAAACGGCGAAAAACAAGATAAATATATCTCAGTTCCATACCACCAATACACGAAGTTTTTAAAAGAAGTCATACACTACAGAGCCTTTTAGGAAATCCAAAAGACAAAGTCGAGAATTCGGAAAAGTCTGCAATTTATGAAATTAAATGTAAGGACTGCGATGCAAAATATTATGGATAGACAAGAAGATATATTAAAATAAGATATAAGTAACACTTAGTACACCTAAAATATGGAAAACCAGGAAAATCAGCAGTCGCCCATCATATTTTGCAACAAAACCATTCCATAGACTTTAGTTCATTAAGATTAGTTAGACAAGTTAACAACAACAGGCATCTAGATGCCTATGAGAGTTTAGAAAAGAGTAAACATGAAAATATTATGAATAACGATGCACCAATACCTATGATAGTATACTATATAGCTTGTTAAAATAATATTTCAATAATTAGATTCACCTGACTAGCACATAAGGACACATACTAAAATTAATTTAAGACTAGTAGATAAGGCAATATTGTGAAATTAACTCAAGACACTCGAGACGCATGTACCTAGAAGAGGTATCAATGGTATACTTAAGGATAACATTGTAAGTAAATTTAGTTCAATCTTTCTCTTGAAGATGATCACTAGGTGATCGAAACATGTGCCGAGGTGTTAAAATAACGGTTTGGTGTTGGGAAAAAACTCCAGTATTATTCAATACTACACCAAAGGTTCCAAACATTGCATCACAAGTGCATCTTATGATGTTTATCCATATCAGGGAATGTTCGAACTCAAGAAATGAACTTCTTGAATTTTTCGAAACATACCAAATGCTAACCAAACTATAAGGAGAATGAAAGAGGTTGTTATTTGAAGATCATATATGCCAATACCGAAAATGTTTTCAAATGGACAATTAATCAAGATTTTCATGTTCACAAACTACTCAGGGTCTCGGGATGGGACGAGCTATAGATACTGCTGCATCCCACATGTCTTGCCACACCCGGCAGGATCTTTTTTTCATCAACTATGTTACCATCTTCTCTCTTTGAATAAGACTTCGATATATACTCGAGCGATTACATTGAATTCGTTTGTTGATGTTGTACTACATGCACCGGCCGCTCAAAATCCAATTTTCGTTTTACCCTTTCAAACATTACACCGCATTCAGCAAAATTAGGTGAATGTCGCGTCATAGTTATCCTTGACTTGAATTTCTGTTTGGTTTCTGTTTTTAATGGCTGTCTGTCACTACTTCTATATAGTTTGATGGTTTGGCTTTATTACAACTCTCTGATAATAGAAATATCGTTACATTCTTTTTCTGTTTCCTTTCTGAACCACTACTATTGTTATTTAATTCCTTTCATTACCATCACTTTCCTCCATTAGTGAGTGATCCAATGACCAATTCTAGATGAGTTCCTGTGATATCCTATGTATCCTATGTCTCCCATTGTTCAGATCACTAGATATTATTCTGATTAAATCACCAAGTTAGGACTGGAGTTTTCAATATCCAGAGTGACGGGGAAACGTAATTTTTTTCTCGATTCATTTTACCACTGCGTTAAGATTCTTTTGCTGACCATTATTTCATACAATTCACGAATAGCAGGCAAATTGGCGTATATGTCTCAGAAAATTTTATATTTATAAAATAACGCATTCATGATAGTGATAAAGATTTTTTGGGATGACTTCCACCACCGTTACTCTGTCCTGGGGAGTCGCTGGGAAATATCCGTCGCAAATTTCAGCTCTTCTTTAGAGGGGGAATAACCCTATCTATGGTTCCAAATGGCTGAAGTTCTTGTCTTTGGGAAGAGAAATGCTTAACGATTTCTTTCCCTCTCTTTTTCGGATGTGATAGTGAATGGTAGACTCATATTTGTTAGCTGCTTTTTGACAATTTTGTATCTATTATTTCATTCGTGATCCTAGAAAATGTCGCTTTACTGTTTTTGAGTTTCACATCCTTTTCAGCTTTTCTCTTCATTGTTAACCTTATATTTCAGTTGTTCAATTTCTTCTTTTTGATATGCTCCTCGTCTAGCGTTCCTCACATTACCTCTCCGTCTCTTGACGCCTCAGTTCTGTTCTACCATAATCATGTACTGACTTCAATCCTTTATTTTCCTGCTCTTTTGATAATTTGAGCGCTTTACTGAGTTTCTGCCGAAACTCGAGGTGACCTACTTTTTCCTTGATAACTATTTTGAGATCTTCTTATCAATGTACTGTTTTCCTCTCCTTACAGCATTGGAATAGTATTTATGGAATATGAAAAGATGGCCGCTAGAGAAAAATCTAGTATATCCTAACTAAAGTTGTCACGTTTTCTCAGTCCGTTACTACTCTATCCGTCTCTGATATCCAGAATCACATTACCCTGTATCTATTATTCGTAAAGAGCCATCTTCATTATTTCTCCCCTCTTCTATTGTTGCTCAGCTCATATAAAGTCTTCGTGTTCGGCAAACAGTTCCAACTATAAATACAGATAGTCCTGTAGGGTTATTCGACTAATTTTGTAGACCTACTAGAAGTCATTATTCAGATTATATAGAATGTATAAATCTGACGACAACGCTGTATTATTGAAGCCGACTACAACTATGGCCACTCTTGTAGCTTTTCAACAAAGTAGTCGACCTCAACTTACTCAATCTCTCTTCATTTTGCAGACACTTGTACTGTATTAATTGCTGAAGAAGTACTGAAGAAGAGAGGAATACCGTCTCTATTATCTGCTATTCATTCATTGCTTCTATGTATTTCCCTAAAAACTATAGTTTTTTCCTTTCCTCGTGGCAACTTTGTGTTCCACGTCTTGAGTGACTATATTTATTTATTCAAGTGGGACTGTATTACTCTGATTGTGAATTTAATTTGGAAGAAAATGACCACCTCCGTTGGTTTCTCGAAGTATCTATAGCTTCTCCTCTGACTCTGAATGAACATTCTTCCTAATGGCGAGACATAAAGTATTCTGTGAAATTTGTTCTATGTCCTGAAAAATCTATGAAATCTATGAAAGGGTTCCAATTCCAAACCAGCTTTTGACTACTCATTACTTCATTCGGTCTGGTGACTCTGGGACAAGAGGTCCTCTGATGCTTGTTTATGTCCAAATCCCAAGCATTTCTGATACTTTCCTACTTCCAACGAAACTGCTTTTTATCTTTCCAATTTCAACATTTTCCATTTCCATTAACCTAAACCTTGTAGTATTTTTCGATACTCGAATTTACTCAGCAAAGTTTGATGACCTTTTATAATCAATTATGGTTCATATGAACCAACGAGTAAATTCACCGCTGAATACACATTAGACATTGCTGAATGAATCTCGTCTCAGCGAGTTTTTTAGAGTTCTAACTTCTCTTGCCTACAAAAGCTATTTGAAAAATTTGAAATAAAAGTATTAATTGTATTCAAGTAGGTAGGTACCTGATTTGTATTATGGGATGATTCCACATCCTAAAAGAGTAGCATTAACGATCCTAAACCAGAGAGCGCTGGTCGGGTCATGAATTGATCATCTGAACCCCTCTGACAAGAATAACCTTGGAGAAGAGGTGACAAATCTCCTCATTTCCTTGAAAAATAATACAAACTTTCATTCGGGCAGCAAGTGTAGAAAATGAGATCTTGTGAAACTATGCAATGTATTCGAGATTTTATTATTATTAGCACACTGAAGTCTTTGGCTCAAAAAGAATTTAGTGAAAAAATATTGAGCTCTTACTGAACCCGAAATGTTGTCCCTAGCCTAGAAGCAACACCGGGTTTCTA